ACCCAAATATATAAAGCAGCTAATAACAAACATAAAGGAAATAATCACTACTAATACAATAATAGTAGAGGACTTTTAATACCCCAGTTACATCAATGAATAGATCATTCGAACAGAAAATCAGCAAGGAAACAGTGGCTTTGAATGACACATTGGACTAGATGGATCTAACACATTTATTCAAAATATTCCACCCTAAAACAGCAGGATACACATTCTTCTCAAGTACACATGGAACATTCTCCAGAATGGATCACATATTAGGCCACAGAATAAGTCTCAACAAACTCAAAAAGACTGAAGTCATGCCATGCATCTTTTCTAACCACAACACTATGAAACCTGAAATAAACCAAGAAAAAAATCTGGAAAGAACACAAATACATAGAATTTAGATAACACAACCCAATGAATGGGTCAACCAAGAAACCAAAGAGGAATTCAAAAAATGCATGGAGACAAATGAAAATGAAAACACAATGGTCCAAAATCTTTGGGATACAACAAAAGCTGTTCTAAGAGGCAAGTTCATAGCAATACAGGCCTACCTCCAGAAGTGAGAAAAATATCAAATAAACAACCTAACCTTACATCTAAAGGAGCTAGAAAAAGAAAAACAAAGCTCAAAACCAAAAGGAAATAAAGATTAAATCAGAAATAAACAAAATAGAAACTAAAAGAAAACAAAAAACACCCAAAAAACAATAGAACAGATCAGTGAAACCAGGAGCTGGTTTTTTGAAAAGATCAAAATGGACTCATTTTGGACTTAGCCAGACTCATCCAAAAATGAGAGGACTCAAATAAGCAAAATCACAAATGAAAGAAGAAAAATAACTGAATCACAGAAATACAAAGGATTATAAGAGAATATTATGAAAAGTTATACTCCAAAAAATTGGACAATCAAAAAGAAATGGATAAATTCCTAGAAACATATAACCTCCCAAAACCAAACCAGGAAGAAAGACAAATTTTGAACAGACCAATTACCAACAATGAAAATGAATCAGTAGTCAAAAAACTCCCAAAAACCAAAAGTCCAGAGCCAGAGAGCTTCACAGGTGAATTCTGGCAAACATTTAAAGAAGATTTAATACCTACTCTTCTCAAACTATTCCAAAAACTAGAAGAGGAAGGAAAGCTTCCAAATTCATTCTATGAAGCCAGCATTACCTGATACCAAAACAGATAAAGACACTACAAAAAAAAAAAAAAAAAAGAGAGAGAGAGAGAACTACTGGCCAATATCTCTGAGGAACATAGATGCAAATATCCTCAACAAAATATTAGCAAAACAAATCCAACAATACATTAAAAAATTCACTCACCATGATCAAGTAGAATTTATTCCTGGGATGCAAGCGTGATTCAATATTTGCAAATCAATCAACATGATACACCACATCGAGAGAAAAGATCAAAACCATATCATCATTTCAATAGATGCAGAAAAAGCATTTGACAAAGCACAACATGCACTCATGATAAAAATCCTCAATAATGTAGGTTTAAAAGGAACATACCTCAACATAATAAATTCCTAGACTATGGAATTCATATAGAATATATGAAAAGCCCACAGTTAACATCATACTCAATGGTGAAAAACTGAGAGCTTTTCCCCTAATATCAGGAACAAGACAAGGATGTCCACTCTCAGCACTTTTATTGAACATATTGGAAGTCCTAACCACAGCAATCAGACAAGAAAAAGAAATAAAAAGCATCCAAATTGGTAAACTTTCACTATTTGCAGATGACATGATACTATATATAGAAAGCCCCAAAGACTCCACCAAACAACTGGTAGAACTAATAAGTGAATTCAGTAAGGTCACAGGATACATAATCAATATACAGAAATCTACTGCATTTCTATACACTAATAGAGAAGTAGCAGAAAGAGAAATTAAGAGAATAATCCCATTTTAAATTACACCAAAAATAATAAAATGCCTAGGAATAAACTTAACCAGGAAATGAAAGACCTGTAGGGGAAGAAAAAGAAAGAAAAGATTAAGGGGATTTGGATAGAAAAGGACAAAGAACTTTCCTGGAATAGTGGATGATATGAATATTAGCAAGGAGGTAGAAATATGCATAACATGTTTAAGGGACAGTAAATAGAGTATTAATATAATAGTTACTATTTATTGAAAGGTAACATGGTCTCTGGGGCACCTGGGTGGCTCAGCCATTAAGTGTCTGCCTTCGGCTCAGGTCATAATCCCGGGGTCCTGGGATCCAGCCCTGCATCAAGCCCTGCATCAGGCTCCCTGCTCAGTGGGAAGCCTGCTTCTCCCTCTCCCATTCCCCCTGTTTGTGTTCCATCTCTCGCTGTCTCTCTCTCTGTCAAATAAATAAATAAAATCTTTAAAATATAAAAAATAAAAATAAATAAATAAAAGCATGATCCTCTGAACACAGACTTCCCAGGTTTGAAATATACTACCACTTATTAGCTGTTTACATGGTAAGTTAATTAATTTCCCTATATCTCAGTGATCTGTTCTCTAAAATTAATATAATGATATTACCTATTTTAGAGGCTTGTTACAAGGATCAAATGAGTTTACAAAGTATTTAGAACACTGTCTAAACACTATGTAAGTTGAGTTAGCTAAGTGAAGTACTGAAAGTATTGTAAATATACTATACTCCAGGCACTGTAGTAAGCACATTATGTTAGTTTACTTAATCTTCATCAGCTTATAAGGTATATATTATTATCTCTGTGTTATTGGTGAGAAAATTAGAACTAAGAGAATTAAATTTCTTAAGATCACATAGCTGGTAGTTTTTAAAGCTAGGATTCAAACACAAATACAAAGCCTGTGCTCTTAACCACTAAACTATACTTTCTGAGTTTAGGAAGCATTGGGAAAATAAAGAAAAGCAGGGTGAGGCCAAATTATGGAGACCATGAAATCATCAGGCTAAAACAATTAAATCATATACTACAGGCAGTGAGAAGTTACTGAAGGTTCCTGGGCAGTGATGTGTTTTAGAAAGATTTATCTAGCCACAGAATTCTGGATGGATTAGAAATCTCTGGGCCACAGAAGCATCAAGTAGACACAAATATACCTCAAGTGAACTTGCAGAAAGTAGGCCAATTTTTCTTGTTCTTCAAACTCACCCTTAAAGATTCATTCATATATATAACCCCATTTGATCTCTAAACCATAATCAATAATAGCTTCAGCACCAAATAACCAAAGAAAAGTTGGAACTTCTATTGGCTGACTCCTAAATTCACCCAAACCCCAAAATAGTGTTCCATTCTACTGCCTAAATGTAGGTGCAGACATTCATGTATATCCATAGTCTCTTTGTAATCTACAACTGAAAGGTATTTAACAACTAGAAAATGAATCACATGTGTAATGCCTCTTGATTTAATAGCCCAACTCATCCCCCCGCCCCCGCCCGATGCTATCCTGAACTATAAAGCATTGCAGGAGAAAATCACAAAGCTAGGTTGCTGCTACTACAAATTCATGATCTTCAACCTTAGCTGGGCCTGAAATGCTGCCAGGCAGCCCTAGTTAGACATCTCTCCTATTTCTCTCAGTGGTTATTCCAAACTTTCACCACTCTTAATCCTTTTACACCTCTCCCCCATCCTACCATCACCAGTGCCTTCTATTCCACACACACATGCTCAACAGATGATTTTTTTCTGTATTATACTGAGAAAATAAATTTAAATGCAATCATGTAGGAATCCCTCAGCTCCTCTTGCCACCACCATGAATTTCAATGTCTTTCCCTCCTAGATCAGTAAAAAGTTGTCCTTCCCTGTATCCAGAGCTAATTGTTTGATCTGTACTCCGGAATCCCAGTCAACTCGTCGATATCACTCCACCAGAACTGGTAGAGAAGGAATGTTCAACCTTCCTTCTCTACCAGTTCTTCCCCTTTAGCACATTCCCATAAGCAGCTCTATTATTTAAAATTCTCTTTTAACCCATGTCCTTCTCCCCCCTCAAGCCTCCCTACTCTTCATTCTTTCAAAGTCAGGCTACTTGAAAGAAAAGCTTTATGTTCCTTGAGTTCTTTCCTCTCTTCATCCATTCTTTTAATTTTTCCTTGGACCATATGTTCATAGAATGGGATTAGTCATAACCTTTGGTTCATGACACACTCATTACTGCTTCCATGCATGGTCCACTTTTAATAATTCAGTTGGTCAGACCACCTGCTCTTTTCCCTTCTCTAACCTGCCTTACACTTTCCCTTACAGGTTTTTCCTGAAGAAGAGTTTCCTTTAATGAAACTCATGACCTGAATCCTCACCTAAAACACAGCTTCTAGGAAACCTGACCATAGACATTAAGGATGATAGATGAGAAAGATTAAAAAGAGCCCGAAATGCCAGTGAAATCATGGAACTACCACACTAGTCCTCAACTACTTTACTCTGGGCTCTTGTTACTTAAGAAAAATAACTTTTTGGCAAAGCTCCTGTAGCTGAGTTTATTAGACTTGCACTTGAGAATAGTTCCTAAATGATCCACTCCCAAACCTAGCTTCTCCAGTCCAGATCATTCTTCCAAATTCCAGATACACACATCTAAGTATTTTAGTAACATCTCCATTTAGTACCTCAATCCCAACCTGCCCAAAACTGGACTTCTAAATTTCTCCCCAAATAGGCATTCCTTTCTGTATCTCAAACAGTGAATGTCACCTCTAACTGTTCACTTACCCCAAACAAAATCCTGAATGACAAACAGAGCCCTGCATCCCCTACCAATCTTTTCACACCTCTCTACTATCATGTTCCCCTGTACCACTGCCCCAGATTGATTAAGTCACTGAGTCCAGTCCCATGGATTCCCTCTTTTAAATACATCTCAAATATATTCTTTTCTACCGTTCTTACTGCCAGTGTCATTGCCTTACCTCAGGTCTTCAGCATTTTGCTCTCCGATAATAGCTTCCTACCTGGTCTACTTGCCTCCTATCTTGATATTCTCCAATTTATTACTTACCCACACTTCCACCAGATGGACTTTGTTTTTGCAGGAGGCAAAAAATATCCTCCTGTCTTCCCACAAGTAGTCTTCATGGTAGAATAGGATAAATTTGAAGTGGTTGTTCCCTGAAAGAGAAAAGAAACAAAAAGGAAAAAAGTAACTAAGCTCTACATCTGGTTTTACACAATAAAGATTAAGGAAATGTGCAGGATAAGGAGAGAATCCATACATTAAACTAATTCAGCAGATGCAGACACTTTGAACCAGAAGGGCCTACAAAATCCAACAACTCCCTTCTCTTCCCTGCTCCTCAACCAAATCTGTAGAGATTGGGAAGAACAGTTGTGGTTTGAACTTCAAGCAAACTTCATTTTACTCTCAAATGTCCTTGCACCTCTCTGACTGCTGAGTTACTGCCCAAATCTGGTATCATTCCTTTTCTTAGAATTTTTCAATGATCTTCTACTACCATCAGGAAAAATGTGAACATCTAAGTCAAGCCCTATGATCTGGCTATAGTAAACTTCCCAGAGTTTGCTACGTCAAACTACCCAAGTAACTATTTCATGCTCCCATGCGTTTTTGCATTCTGTTCCCCCTACCTGTCACACCATTTTTGTTCTACCCTTTTCCTCTTTACTGATAAGTTCTATTTATCCTTAGGTGATGCATTTCAAGCCTTTCCTAACCTACTAAGTCTAAATACCCTTCAACTGGACTTCAATATCACTCTAGGTGAACTTTTGTTGAAGCATTTATAAAACTATATATAGTAATAGTGATGAACTCCTTAGGGGCAGAGACTATAACTCTGTAATGCCGGAATGAATCTGTGCCTCATATATAGTAAGCACCTCCTCCCTAAAGTTTGTTTAATGTGGTGTTTTGTTGTTTTGTTGTTGTTTTTGCCACCATTAACTAAGAACTTACTATTTTTAGGTTCTGTAATAGGAGATATATGTGCATTTAATATGTGCATATTATTAATCTCTATTTTAGGGATGAGAGAAATGCACACATAGAGCTTTAGTGATATATCCAAGTTCATGCAGCTAGTGACTAAGCATGTGCTGGCAATCTACATCTCTATTAATAATAAGCTTTTGCAAATGCTTTGAAGTAGAAATGGCTATATGAGAATACATACATGTAAGCTAAAAACTCTGCTCATTTATTCAACAAGTATTTAATGAGGAAAGAGGGGTACAGTTTCTCTAAGCGTCTTACCCATTTAAAACAAATTCACAAGATAAGTAAAATTATTAAACTCCTTCTTTTCCCCTCTAATGTCCATCCGCTGTCTCCCTCCTTCCCTCCCTTTCTCCCTCCCTCCCTCCCTCTCTCTCTCTCTTTCTTTCTTTCTTCTTTGCAAGGTGTGTCGCCTAATTTCCTTTGGGCTACCATGATTTTACTCAGTCTCTGGGCATACAGGTGAAAGATAATGCACATATCTCAAATGAAGTTCTACACAGTTTTATTGGAAATCAGATACTTTCATTTATTTAAAAAATATAAAATGCTTGGTCAAGAAAAGGAAGAAAAAAGGAAAATACAAAAAGAATTCATCATGCATGAAATATTTGGAAAAAATAAGTAACCATGTTAGTTTACAAATACAGAGAGCTAGAAAAAATTAAAACCAAAAATAATTGTACCAAAATAAAAATCAGGTAAAATTGAAGCTTCAGGACCCTAAATCCACTACTCAAAATAGCCCAACACCAACTGAAATGGATGTCCAGTCCAAATATACAGCAAGAAGTAGGTGTATTCAAATAGCATTTAGTCTAAAGCTGAGTGTTCATTTGCCAGGCAGACAGGCCATTAAAAAACTGTGGTTTTGGGTGTTTTCAAATGAACCTGAATTTTCAGATGTATAAATTAGTTTACCTCCTTGGAAAGACATGATTTCCTGTTTTCAGGAGAAATGCAGGCTTCTAAAAGCTTATTTAAAAGGTTCAAAAGGCTACTTAGGCATCAAATAACTATTAAAAACAATATTTTGACTATTTAAGTGTAAACGAATCAGAAACATATGGATTAAATTTCCCTTAAATTGCACATGCTCCAAACTGAAGAGTATAAGCATGGGTGAAACCTGTTTTGGATTTCAGTGAGCCCAAAACATTTGAAAAATCATCTGAGATGTTCAGTGAACTCAAGAGTACAGCTGGATTCACCCATCCCTAATTCATCCCTATCCTACGCTTCTGGTCTTAATATAAGGAAGGGTGTAAGTACACAAGTAGCTTGCAGGTAAAATGTCTGCATCTAAATTTAGAGGTGATTAAAAAAGATCTTTTTAAATCTTTTAAAATCCTGTGTTTTAAAAGAAAGTCTTCCATTTTTAAAGAAAATCTAAACTAGTCTTTAGACTCTTCATACAATTTTCTTTTTCATCTCTTCCTAAATAAAATTTATATGACTCTAGGATTGAGAATAAAAAAAAAAAAAATGAAAAATTTTTGAGCTTCCATTATGTGCCAGGCACTGTGCTTGGTATTTTTACACACATTATTTCTTTATCCAATCCTGCAAACCAGTTTCAGTGGCCTATACACAAAGACAAGGCATCTGTATTTCACTCAGTTTTATTCTCTTCACCTTGATCAGTCAGCCTGTTTACAATAAGCAGCCTGAGTCTAATAAGTCAACTGAAAAAATATTATATGTTCTCATCGAATTAAACTCATAATATTAAGAACTAAAGTCCTTAGCTACCAGATGAACTACACAGAACTGGAAGACAGCAGAAAAAGTGATTAAGAGTACATGTTTTGGGATAAAAAAATTACTTTGTCTTTTTGTAACTTCTTTGTACTAATGGGTAATAATACCTACCTTATAACATCACTGTGAATATATAGAGTAGGAAGTTGTATATAATATGCCTGAAAGTAAAGAGCTCAATAAATATTACATAAGAAATATATGTATACTGATGTATGTGATCAAAACTTTTCTCCAACACCCAGTCAGATCCAGATTGTGACTGCCTATAACCCTTGCCAAAATGAATCCCTCTGATCTCTCTCCAGACTCTCTGTGATAAACACTTTACCATTCCCCCAGCAGATAATGAATGGTCCCCATACATCCTGAAGAGGGTGCTTGGAACCACCTCCATCATGAGTTACAACTTTTCACAACATGGGTGGACTTGGAGGGTAGTGTGCTAAGTGAAACAAGTCAGACAGAAAAAGATAAAGGATTTCACTTATATGTGGGGGTCTAAAAAACAAAACAAATAAACAAGCAAACAGAAATAGACTCACAAATACAGAGGACAAACTGGTGGTTGCCAGAAGGGAGGGTTGGAAGGATGGGGGAAATAGGTGAAGGGGATAAAGAGGTACTAACTTCCAGTTATAAAATAAATAAGTCACAAGAGTGAAAAGTACAGTACAGGGAATATAGTCAATAATACTGTAATAACTCTGTATGGTGACAGATATAACTAAACTTACCGTGGTATATAATTGTTGAATCTATATTATATTATACACCTGAAATGAATACAATATTGTATGTGAACTATACTTCAATAAAAAGTGAAAATTAAAACAAAAACAAAAACAAAAAAAAACAAGTTACAACTCTCCCCCTCATGGTGCCCTGTAAAATGCCATGCCAGCTACTTGAGGACTGAGGCTATCCCCACGCCTATCAGAAGTTACCTGTGTCAAACAGCAGGGCCTGCCATGACCCACGTCCTGCTAACTGAGGTGTATCACACTGTTACAGGAGCCTCCTTTTCCCCATCAAAATCCAGGGGCTCCTCTACCATTAGTTCAGGGAGTTTACTGGACTCCAAAAAGTTGTAGCTCTTTCTTGGGTATACCTCAGCTCCAGCACTCTGGTCAACCACTCCACCACCACTGGAGAAGCCAGCACAACCCAATGTGCAGGCATATTCAGTATAGCTCTAATGCTCAGATACAATATCTCTGAGAAAGAGAAGATATTGACAACCCCCTCCCTACCCACCACTCATGCTTTCTTATCTGAGGGTCATGCCTCTGCCTCCCTATGACTTCAACTTTTGCTCAGAGAAATGGAAATGTGGTGGCTAGGAAGAGTTGCCAGAACCATACCACAGTTCCACATGGGAAAATGACCATAAGACATTTTTCTTTGACTGTTCCCCCAACCTCCTTGCATGCTTTTTTTCCCCCCTTGGAAAAGGTCTGATTACCCAGCATGGCAGCCTATGAGGTTTTCAAAAAGTCTTTGTGCAGATTTTAACCCTCTGACTTATATCAAACCTTGTCATATCTGCTGGTTAGTCAGCTTTCCATTGTCTGTCAGCAGTTAAAACCTGACCAGAAGAGGTGCTCTGGCCAGCAGGGATCTATCAGTCACTTATCTCCATGAGGTTTTAATGAGCTGCATTAAATCAAGCACGCTGACAAATCTTGTACATAAAGTAATTGGTTTTAAATGCTTTGTGAGAGGCTGCACATGGAGCAAAGGTATTGAATGTTGTGTACTCACCACAGGTAAGAATTTTAAGAGGCAACTTAATGGCTTAAGAGCCTTCTAATTCTCATTAGATCTCTCTTTGGTTGGGTTGCTCTTTGTTTTAAGTTTACAGGACCAAGAACTAGCTTCAGACCATAGCTAGGAAGGTAAAAGTGACTGGTACTTAATCGAGGGCTCACCTTTCAACTATGTGCTCTCTGGGACAGAAAGAAGGGAAATAATGGGGAAGTACAATAGTCCTCCCTTATCTGCGGTTTTGCTTTCCACGGTTTCAGTTATTCATGGCCAACTGCAGTCCAGAAGCAAATGACTCTCCTTCTGACATATCATCAGAAGGTTAATAGTAGCCTAAAGCTACATCACAGTGCCTACATCATTAATCTCATTTCACCTCATCACAAGGCATTTTATCATCTCACATCATCATCATCGTACGAAGGGTGAGTACAGTACAATAAGATATTTTGGAGAGAAACTACATTCACATAACTTTATTATATTTTTACAATTGCTTTATTTTATATTAGTCATTGTCATTAATCTTTTACTGTGCCTAATTTATAAATTAAACTCTGTCATAGTTATGTATGCATGGGAAAAAAAACATAGTATATATAGGGTTCTGTGCTAGCCCCGGTTTCAA